CGAATTTAATGTAAAATTTAAACGTTTTTAAGATAAGATATTAATTGTTATTAAAAGGTAAATATTAACACAACTATTTTATTTATAGTCCCAAATTAAGAATATAAAATCTTCCACACCAAAAAACTTACAATTGGGTAACGCCGCTTCGAATTTTTCACAATTGAGCAATTGTCAAAAATCTGCTTTTTAATCAAAAAGTTGTTTATTGAAACTACCTTCTTTTTTTGTATCATGATTCAAAGTTTTCATGAAAAATACACATGAAACAATCGAGGTATATTCCAAAATAGAGTGCCGATATATTGCCGATAGAAAGAGAGATACGATAAGAAAATGTACCCAAAATGACAATTTTACTTTTCAAAATTCAGGGAGATCCTCAAATTTTTATTGACAGAAAGAAATTCAAATTAAAAAAAATCAACACAGGCTGTCCCTATTCATTCCCCTGACAGTGTATAGGTTAATAATACTTTTAGAAAAATTTAGGGTACGCAGTTTTGCAGCCAATTTTAACGTAGTATAATACATGATAAAAATATAGTAAGGTAGAACCGCTGAGAGTCACTTTTAAAATTCTTGACGTTTCCAAACAATTTAATTTTTAAATTTACTCACAAACTCACACACACATTTTCATTTTCAATCTCAAGCAACAACAATTTCGTACAATTTCAATTTTTTATTTTCACTTTTATATGATTTTAAAATGTTGGCAAACTTCAAAAAAAAAATCATGGCCGACAAATTGAGAGAACGGTTATACCTTGCTATGTTTTTATCATGGTATAATAGTGTGCAAGTTTTAAGTGTCTGTAAAATACCGTTGATTATCGGAAATTTTTTTGTTGACGGTATCATGCATTTTCTTCCATATTAAAAAATTGTCGACCAGACTTGTCATGACAAAAATAATTTAAAATCACTCAATGCATTAAGTATTTTAGATTTTATTCTGTGTCAACATATTGTTTGCACACATTGGTACATAAACATATTTGAAATAATTCGATATTTATTTTGTGTTAATTTGCATATTTTAGAAGTTGGTCGTAAAGAGTAAAGTGCACCACTAGTAACAACAAATTTATCTGAGTTGAAGGCAATCAAAACGAACTATTAAATTGAAGAGATACCGAATGCCCACAAATACAATCCTATCGAGAATGCAAACAACCAATCAAAACAATTACATTACCGCCGAAGATATACCATCTATAGCAAACAAGACCACCAATAACCAAATAGAACCTATTAAAAACTATAATGCTTTAAAAGCGGGCCACTCTTTAGGAGGTACGTCTGTAACAAATATGACAATGACAAAGAGCCACAAAGCAGCTTCTACACCGATGGACCAGCAATCACAATTCGAGGAGGACAATGAGAATTGTGTGATTGATATAGCCACAATGCAAATTGTTGACGACAACAACTACAGCAGCAATAATAAATGCACATGTGGGGATGAGCAGAGCGATACGAGACCAAAGGCTACCGCCGTGGGGGAGCAACTGAAATGTGCTGGGACGGAGGGGGATAGCGACAATAAAATCGATATGAAAACTACAATCGAAAACGGGTGTGAAAATATAAAAATTGAGGATGAGCGGGAAGATGATAGTTTAGTGCACGACTACCTTAATGTTTTGGAGATCAACCAAGCTGAGGAGGAGCAAACCATTACTGAACTAGTAGATGCTAGTGGGCAAAGAAAGTGTATAGAAGCGTAAGTAGAACATTAGGCAGTTTTGGCAAACTATTTCTGTTTCTATGTGTTTGTACGAGTATGTTTATTTGCAGCAAGCACAGCAATGGCATGCGCGTCGCTTTTGGTATAATTTTTAGGCTAATGCTGCCGTTGGCTAACAATGTTATGCGCAGCTTCAAGGGCATACGTGATGTACGATTTTTGCGTATATTGAAATCTATTGCTTCCAGCCGACAAGCACTCACCAACTTGATGGCGTTTGCGGCCAATACAATATCGCTTAATTTGTCGTCGGTGCAAGGTGCGTATAAGTAATACTAGGTTCACATATAACTAGATTATCCTCATTTTCGAGCTTAACACCCTAATCTGTAATTATAACAAGAGATTAGCCATATAAAATTCGTCCCTTGTTAATCTGTAATTATAAAATAATCTCAGATTAAACCGATAACTTTTCGGTGTCCATCCTAGTTTTATCGATTGTTTTTGCAAAAAAGAGGAGAAATGCCAAATGTAAAAGTAAACAAAAATGTACGCTAGCAAGGAAAAGAGGTTTGTAAAGGTATTTTTAATAAAATGTTAAGTTAAAATATATTTATATCTGAGAAGAAACATAACTTTTCCTCGAGATGTGAGAATAACAAGCACAACAAATTTGACGGCTAATAATCTGAGATTTGCCTGTGTAAACGGGGTGATTAAAAAACGAGCTTTGATTGGGATAATATTAATAAGTGAACATAGTTTTACATGCGGTACTGTTTATTTTGTAGTGCTGCTTCACAGCGCCTTAAAAGTATATTTGTGTTGATTGATACCCTTTTTCAAACAGGTGGAAACCCTTCTGAAAAATATGGTTGGCAGTAAACTTTCTTACACCTCTTCAGTTTGATACCCATATTGCAATATTTAATTTATCTTATCAATTAAATTAAATTAAAATTTTCAAATATGTGGCAACCTCCAGAAAAAATATTTTTGGCTGTAAGCCTTCTTAAACCTATTTCTTTTTACAGCCATATTGTAATATTACCTTTATTTTATCAATTTACTTAAACTGGAATTCTCAAACATGTGGCAAGTCTCTAACATTTTTTCTGCTTATATTGTAAGTAACACCTCTTGCAATTCATCAGTGAAAACTGTATTCGAACTGTATGGAGAAAAAACAATTTTTCGTAGAAATGGTATAAAATGCTTGAAAATCAGTATTTTTCGATCGAAAAACTTTGGTTCTCTTCAAGACACTTCCAGTATTAATGTCCAGTTGTTTATTTAACCATTGTTTGATATTAAAAATTTTTTATTGGTCACCCATTGCATTTTCAGAGGGTACAAAATATAGTTATCATGAAAAAATGGTTAAAGAAACAATTGGGTATTATTATTGGGAATCTCTTGAATATGCACCGAGTTTTCCGATCTAAAAATATTGATTTTCACGAATTCTACCCCATTTCTACGAAAAGTTGTTGTGTTGACCACTCCCAAAATTTTTTTATTTCTAAATAAAAATATAGGGGTATATTTTTTCGATATAGAACAATCCTAGGGGGTGCCGGCATTAAAATTCCGACTTTTCGTTTTCACATGCAATTTTGGACCACTCTAGTGTACAAACATACCGGCAGACAAAACTTCTAAAAATTATTAATCTGGCCTCTATTGTTCTAATAAAGATCCCCCATATACATTCTTCTTTAAAATCTATAACATCGGCCTGATACAATTGTATTATATGTTTGTATGTATATGTAAATGCAGAGTGCACTGCATTTATGTTTAATAACTTAAACTAATCAGAATTTTGTAACGATTTATGGGAGTATCTACTGTCAAAAAAAAAAGTAATAGTGCACCGCATTTTCGCTTGCATCTACTTGTGACCTATTTGATTTAATTGAGATGAAATTGAACAGAACTAGTTTTTAGACGAGCTTCTATATCTACGTATAGTACTTAATTAATTAGGTGAATAAGTAATATTTACAGGAAATTATATGACCAACAAACTGCATACAACAAACCCTGCTGATATCAGAATTGCCTGGCTTGAAAATAACTCATTCTTTTCTTACATAGTATGAAGCAAAGTCGAGATTTTTTGACCACGCTAAGCTACTCAACGAATTTGGACGAGATATTATTAATACAATTTGTATGGATAGGGCTATTATCTTAAGTAGTTGGAAATTTTATAGATAGGTTGCCACCTGTCTAAAAAATTATAAGATCCGCACAGTTCTTTAGATTACAAAAAAATAGGTGTCAAATGAAAGAGCTTGACACTACTAGAAATTCAATAAAGTTCTACCCAGAATTGCAACGGACGACGGTAAAGCGGTCGACGGTTAATCGCTGTCAAAATTAAAACTGACCAAGGCATATGGAATGGTTCATTATTTCGGCGGCAGTATTTTTACCGCCGACATTCCTCGATTGATTTAAATTTATTTCTATTTTTACCACCCAGAGGGGACGGCACAAGATTGATTGAGTGTTGATTGTAGTATTTTTATACCTTTCATGAGCATGAAATGGTATTATAACTTTGGTCCGATGTTTGTAAGTACCAGAACAAAAAGAGATAGACCCATGAAAATGTATACTTATATGATCAGAACGTCGAGCTGAGTTGATTTAGCCATGTCCGTCTGTCCGTCTGTCCGTCTGTCCGTCTGT